TGATGGCGGTGGTGGAGACTTGTAGTAGTATGGTGGTGGAGGAGATGGCGATGGTGGTGGTGGTGACTTGTAGTAGTATGGTGGAGGTGGTGACGGAGATGGTGGAGGAGGGGATTTGTAGTAGTAGGGTGGAGGAGGAGATGGCGATGGTGGTGGAGGAGACTTATAGTAATAGGGAGGTGGGGGAGAAGGTGATGGTGGTGGTGGAGACTTGTAGTAGTAAGGTGGGGGTGGTGATGGTGATGGGGGTGGGGGTGATTTATAATAGTATACTGGTGCAGGTTTTGGTGATGGTGGAGGTGGAGACTTGTAGTAATATGGAGGTGGTGGAGACTTAGTTGGTGGGGGCGGAGATTTATAATAGTATACTGGCTCAGGTTTTGGTGATGGTGGAGGTGGAGACTTGTAGTAATATGGAGGTGGTGGAGACTTAGTTGGCGGGGGCGGAGATTTGTAATAATATACTGGTGTAGGTTTTGGTGATGGTGGAGGTGGTGACTTGTAATAATAATGAGGTGGCGGAGACTTAGTTGGTGGTGGCGGAGATTTGTAATAGTAAGCAGGTGGTGGTGGAGACTTATACACATATTTTGGTGATGGAGGAGGTGGTGACTTATAAACATAAGTCGGTGATGGAGGTGGAGGAGATTTATAGTAGTATGGAGCAGGTGTAGGCTTGGACTTTTTGCATTCGGCATAAGGTGTCTTAGAGCCATAAGCAAATGGTTGTGCATAGAGTACAACTTCATATTTATTCTTTGACTTCACTTTGAGGTTAGCACCCTTAATTCCCCAATGAAGGTTTGTAGGAATGCTACACTTTGAATCCTTTGGAGCATTGTGGAGTTTAGCCTTGCAAGCCTTTGCTCCATATTTGCTATATTCAAATCCTTCAACAGTGATGCTAAATTTGCCATTGTTCTTAGTGGTACCATAACTCACAATTTTCTTGTCACCAGCCTTGCAAGTTACTTCAACAACAGCCCCTAAATCCATGTGAAAATAGAAATAATACACTAATTAATACTAAAACAATTAATAGATCTGCTAACATATGATCATTTGCAGAACTATGCCCTATATTCATCATATTAAATTGTAATAACATGTTTTTCTCATAATAAATACTTCTTTCAAGCAAGAACTAACTACTTTCATGCAATTGTCAAAATAGTGCTTATAGTTGTTGTCTTATAAATTGTCTTTACGTTTTAAAATCTTAATTTTAACTATAGATATCGATGATAGCAAAAGAGGATTGAAGATTCAAATAAAAAGAGACACATTTATGAATTATGATAAAGGCATATAGTACAAAGCAACAAAACGGAGAATATATAGTTGGATAATTTATCTAATGACAAATTAAGAGAAAATAAAGAAAGCAGACTTGGTATAAAGACTATGGTACCTTTCAGGTGTTTCTTGCCGTGAGACATTTTTGGGTGCTTCCAATCAAAACATCTAAAGCAATAGACTTTTCCGACAACTTTGACCACAAATTGATGATGTGGAGGATAGTAATGAGTTGGTGGTGGTGGAGAGTTGTAGTAGTATGGAGGAGGTGGTGACTTAACAGGTGGTGGTGGAGAAGTGTAATGATATGGTGGAGGAGGTGATTTCTTGGGTGGTGGTGGAGAGGAGTAGTAGTATGGAGGAGGTGGTGATTTAACAGGTGGTGGTGGGGAAGTATAGTGATATGGTGAAGGAGGTGATTTCTTTGGTGGTGGTGGTGAGGAGTAATAATATGGTGGAGGGGGAGACTTCACTGGTGGTGGCGGAGAATTGTAATAGTACGGGGGAGGAGGTGATTTAGAAGGTGGTGGTGGAGACTTGTAATAGTATGGTGGGGGTGGTGATGGGGATGGTGGAGGAGGAGACTTGTAATAGTATGGTGGTGGTGGTGATGGAGATGGTGGTGGAGGAGACTTGTAGTAATAAGGTGGTGGAGGAGAAGGCGAAGGAGGTGGTGGAGATTTGTAATAGTATGGTGGTGGAGGTGATGGAGAAGGTGGAGGTGGAGACTTGTAGTAATACGGAGGTGGTGGTGAAGGTGATGGTGGAGGAGGAGA